AGCACAAGGGTGGCTCGTATCCACAATGATTCATATCAACCTCAACACGTTTTATTTTCAGCCTGTTAGTTTGGCAAAATTTCTGTGGGTTGAAGAAAAGATTTACCTTACCCTTTTTATTTTTTACTGAAAGCGGTTTACTTTTAAGTGGGGTTGTGGGCGAAGACTACTGTTTATCTTGGTGACTGAGATGGGGATTCGGCCAGTTCATGGCGAGATGACAGTGAGCTGCGCAGGCGAAATTTGTGAACGTGGAAGCTATGGAAACGAGAATTTTAGTTTTGCAACCATCTATATTTATGATTATACTCATATTGGTGATGAGACATTTGCAAAACTTCGGACCGCAGGTGTCTGCGATGGCGATAGAACTGGCTATGAACCTTTCCAGTGGCCAACGTGTTCACCACAACACGATGAGGGTCCATCGTTTCGCCTTTCTCTCAGTCTTCCTTTTTAGTTGCTATCAGAAATCACTAGTCAACTGGACTGATGTGGAGAGCACAAAGTTAAGCTGAAGATGTAGGATAAATCACAATGCAGTCACATTCCTTATTTACTGCCTATTCTCAATTGCTTTGACGGGTGACTGCTAGGAGCAGGTTGAACAAACAATAAAATAAAACACGGTTGAGAAAAACTCGAAAGGAAGGGCAGGATGGTGTGGTGGTGAACGCGTTGGTCACCAGAAAAGGTAATAACGAGTTCGATTTCCAAGGCAATTACCTGCGGTTTTGCAAATATCTCATCACCATTGTAGGTATATTTATCGTCACAACGCACCATAAAAAAAGAGGCAATAAATAAAAAGTAACTACTTTGTGAATATAATTCTGCTCCTTAGTCTGCAGTGAGACATTGAAAGAATATTGTTCTTTGGTATGTTTAGTATGGTCATGGTTTGCTGCTGAATGGATCTACTTAAAATCTAGCTTTTGAATTCCTACAAGTGAACAAAAGTTAACAAATAGAAAAACGTTCACACAAACTTTTAGGAGGACTCAGAGGAGTTTGTTGTCATTCAGACCGTTCTATTTTGCTCATAAAAACTTTTAAGCCAAAAGAGGTCGAGTTTCCCAGATTTCCTCGTGGTCTTATTTGCATACGCGTGGCGGTGGACGGTAGGTGGGAGAGCTACTGTGTCGAAGTGGGCGGGATCATCCACACAGCGCACGCTATTCGTGTTCGTCATCTATTCAGCACGTAGCTCACTTTGCGAGTATCACTTTTTTTTTTCCAAATTCGAAGGGTTTAAATAGAGAGATAAAATCGTTTTCAGTTGTTATTCGATGCGGTAACAATTGCCTACTGTGCCATCATGCGTTTGTTGGCCTTCTTTCGTTTCCTGGCCACACTGTTCGTACTGGAGTGTTTGTGCGAAGAGTGCACCGTTTCTCGTCCTAGTCGTCGTTACCTTAACGAAACTTTTACAAAGAGTGAAGTTCTGTTGTCTGGTACGGTAGACAAGATCGCTGTTGTCACCGATCAAACAGACACGGCGGTACAGGTTGGTTCACTTGCGTGTTGTGTTTTGGACTTATTCATAATCGATGTTTACCTATTTTAAAAAACTAGGTGGTGGAATGGATAAGGTTCTTCTGTGGGTTTACAGCTTATTCCATCGTATTTTCCTTCACAGTTTAATCTAATTCGAATAAACTAAGTAAGAAAATTAAAACAAAAACCGCATATTGTTGTAAAACTTCAAATTGTTGCTTGTAATATGTATTACCTTGCTGAGAGACAGGCGAAACGAAGGACCCGCATGGCGTGGTGGTGAACGCGTTAACCCCCGGAAAGGGTAATAGCGTGTTTGGTCCCCACCGTATACACCAGCAACATTATGGTTGTATTATCTTAGTTTTTTTGTTGTTTCAACATATTGTTGTAGACTTCCTATGCGACCAGTTTTAATCATAACAGTTATTGCCAACTTTATCATCCAGTGCTCTCAATATATTATTTGATTCTTCATTTATTAAGTCATACATTACCCAACGTCTAGTGAAGATCTTGAGCGAGGATACGTGGCGCGTTCGCAGTTACACGCATACTGGTTTAATACGGATGGAACTCGGGATTGAGCTTAGCGTGAAACATAAGTGGATTCAGGAAAGTAATGCCTACTTTCGCTGTGCCAGAATGTCTTATACAAGCTTTTTTATGCACGTAACATTTGTGTCCGCGTTCTATTTTCATATGGATTTGTCCAAAAAGCTGCAATGAAGTCGACGAGATGTATACATGATTAAGGATTGGTTCTTATAAGTAACCGCATGTTTACTTAAAAGAGGTTCTGCAAGTTGGCTACCTATGAGTATACCCAGCTCCTGCGGGCAGCGTTTGTAGAGGTACCAGCGAGTGTTATGTCTATAACTTCAACTGTGACGTTTCCAGTCTCTTTGTAACAAAATCAGCTCATTGGGAAGCTTTGGCTCACAACAGCCACCTATAGAAACCCTGACAGCGCACACTCGAAAAACTTCATGGTTAAGGACTGATTATAGTTCATTGTAGGAATATATATACCGCATAGTAAGAATTGATCTACAACCTGAAATTATATTTTTTCATTGAGTCCTAGAAATTTAACCATGTAACAGAAACGTTGATGTGGTACATCACAGCTTCGCTGATCTTTCAGTTTAATCTGCTTACTGATTCAATTTCTTTCCGCATAGATTAGCCAATCAGCCCGTAGAATGCATAAAAACGCAAAGGCTGTAGTAATCTTGAATATGCTCACTTCCAGAGATGGCATGTTCGGATTAGGCGGATATTCAAGGGAAGAGAGCACACCAAGTTTCAACATTTTGTTGAGGTTGTGGTGCCGTCGGAGTTCAAGGTGGACATTAAGTTTTGGTGACTTCAAAAACGTCGTTTATGATTTCGTTCCAGTTTTGCTTAGCAGAACTGCTACTCCACGATACGAGGATCTTTCCACTCGCTGTTGAAGGAAGCACCTTTACGCTATCCTCTCCGCTTGTTCATATCAATCTCAATACCTTGGATTCGTTACACTCGTTTATCTGGGGTAAGTCCCGTTGGTGCAGAATTCGTCTGTATTTATCTTTAGTTGGTCGCAACCCGGTCAATCTGTGAGTAAGCCTTTTGTCAGCATTTCCACCTGGACAACAGATGCCATATTTTTCTTTTCATTCACGTACACACTCCTTCATTCGTTCATTGTCACCTCTTACCAATTAGTGACCCTACCCAATTACTGAGAATCTGCGCCAATTTTGACATTGACGTTTGGTCTTACTAAACATCTAAGAGTACAATGAACTTCGGGTGAAACACATGATTTAAAGCTCATTTGGGTGTTTGGCACATCTTTTTTTTTCGTAACCTACTCGACAAATTTGCACAATGGCCAACAAAGCGTGCTAACGGAAATTCGAAGCCAAGGTGCCTTATCAAAGTTAAATTTGCTAAACCACGAGAAATATTACATTTAGGTAGAGGATATTCAAGAATTAATTATTGTTTTGGCATGTCAGAGCAAGGAAGTCTGAAATAGAATCCGTAAAAATCTATTGGTGGTGAAATAATTGCTTGGTTCTCACGTGATCCCTTCGTGCAGGACATTAACTGCTACATCTTACACAGCGCCATGAAGGCCTTGCCTTCTTATACGTTCTCTTGTTTGGGACCGTGGGAGTGAGCTCATCTTAGCAAGTGGGCCTTGTGTTGTGTAACGTAGTATTTTGCTATCGCATTAGAGCAAGATGTTTTCTACCAACAAATCTGCATACTAATTTGTTACCTCCCAGATTTAACCCAGGTCATGTATGATCAGATGGCGTGCACTTCTAAATATACAGCTTAGGGAAAGCCCAGCAGTGGTGATGTAAAAAAGAACTAGTGTTAAGAGACAGAGATGATAGTTAGATTTACTGATCAATTTAACAACGGTTACATCGCTAAAAAATGCACATGAAGATTACCAACCTTGTTGTTTCAAGGCAGCTCGTCTGTTTCCTGAGAAAAAACCCTTCAACTCGTTGTCATTCCTTGTAAATCTATCCAGATGTGGTAGGAGAAATAGAATTGCGGAACAAGTCATAAAATAAAGGAATAAACATATTTGTAAGAAAAGGTGTTACTAATTTATTTTAGGTCAACCTCATAAGAAACGACGGAAAACAAAAAAGAGTGAGTCTTATTCGTTTTTTGGCGATGTCCTTTATCGGAACATCTTCAGATAAAAGTAGAAAACTTTCCTGTCTTCTGCACAAGTCTTGAAATGCTCTCAGATTTCTGAGTTACTGAGAGGGATCGCGTAACGCTTCCGCATTTGCTGGGAAGAGGGGGAATGATTTACGATCAGCGATTTACCTAATCCCTATGCAGTGTTTCGCTGCTCCAGCGAAGAAGAAAAATAACAGCGATTTTTTTTTGCTAGTCGAGGAACAGTGGTAAAGCGGGAGTAATTTTTTCGTTCTCTATTAGTCCAAAAAGCACTACAAACATGCTGGTTGTGCTCAAAAAGGAAGTAAGGTTTTCTACCTCTTAGAAAACCATGCTAGACAGCACCGCGAAAATATCGCTCATTTTTCCATTTCAAATATTCTGAATTCTCTTTCAAGTCGTATTTCCAACTTTCCAGTCTTCCACTGACCTGATTAATTGCAGGTGAATGTGAGTCGCACCTTTGTCCTGCTGGATCCAGATGCGTGCACTCTACGTATGTACGATTAGAATACGTGCCATTGTTTGTGTATAGCACCGATAAGTTTGGATTTATCAAAGACGTCCAAAGCAGCAGTTTAGTTGCGATTTAACTGCTATGATTTCAGTTGGGCTAATCTAGCCGTGCTGATTGTCACTTGCTTTGCGGATGTTTGTGTCTCACAGCAAGTTCGATTGCTCGCTATAACAATAGAAAGCGCTAGAAAGCCCATCAAAATATTGTTTAGGCAACGTTCTGAGGTTATGCAGTAGAAATGATATTTAACGAGTACAACTACTCACTCGACTATGTTTTGCAGAGGAAAATGCGGGTGTCGAACACATTGTCGCTCGAATGGCCCAGCCGTTTGCGGCTCGGACCACATTTCGTATGCCTCCACCTGTCATCTTCTTGTCAGGGCTTGCTTGTTGGCGAAGAAAGGCATCGTACTACGTCTAGTGGCTAATGAAGCTTGCAGTAAGTATTCTCTTATTCTTGTGGCAAAATCTTTCTAATAACTATGAAACAGATTTATAACAAATCTCCATAATACTTTTGACAGTTTCGTGCTTTTTGCTCTTTTATATAAATTCTAAGCACTACTTATTTAGAGTGAAGTCATTAAATTCTTAGGAAGAAAAACAATTTAAGATAGATTTGATGTCACAAGCAGAACTCAAGGCGTTTATTACGATTTTTCTTGGCAATAAGAGTAGTATTTTCAACATCAAAAAGTGTCAAAGAGACGACGTGAGAATCTGACTTTGTTATGATTGAGCGTCTTTTCCTTTGTTATTTTCCACAAATGGGAAAACTGTGCACATCTCGAGAAAGCAGTGTTGTTTCCTAACAGGACTCAGTCATTAGTTTCTTCGTAAATGCAGAACGTAGCTCTGGAGTGATGCAAGAGTTTCGGAATGTCTACCTACCTTGAAAGGACACATACTTGCGACATTTCATTGTACTCTGGAGACGGTCCGACGTCTATTTGCCGCTCAATTTGCTCATAAGCTTATCTTTTCACTGACCGCCTTATGACCATAACAAACATTGCAGCCGTTTACCCCTCTGTTTGTGATACTCGGGCTCACCTAGCGCATTCACTGGCGAGAACTATGAGAAGCAATTTTGAAGAACGTCTTTTGTTGAAAGTTTGTTTGTGAATAGCATGAAAATGAGCTATGGATCTTCTGTTCCAGGTTTTGCTTTGATTAGGGCCACTATTGAAAAGTTTACGATTTCTCTTGGTAATCAGTTGTCTTCCGTTACTACCCGCTGTGAGTTAGCCTTTTACAACGATTACTGGAAGATTTTTGCTTTTCCCCGCGAGTTATTTATGCTATTGTTGTGAAATGCACGGTTATTGGGCATTTACGTACCTAATAATTTATCGTTCTGAAAAGGTGATAGTGCTTTAATGGAACAGATCTCTTTCTACAGTTGTGATTCGGTGCAAAAACCGTTTTCAATCGCGTTGTGCTGCTACAGTCTCTTTATTTCTGTCTACAAGATGTTTACACCATGATAGATGGTTTGTGACACTCAGACTCTAAACTCTGAACACCTTCAAGTTTCTTATTCTGGTCGATGAAGTTCATGAGGAAGTGGTTGTCCATCTAACAGCCTATTACCACTTCTATGAAGGAAAATATTATTCATTAGCAGTCTAATCCGTAAGATAAGCATTATCGGATGGCTTAACTTCTTCTAGTTGTTTTCCTACAGAATAAGATTGAGTACAATTAACTTACAACCTTGGTTAGGATGCTGCTGATCACGGTAGTTTTTGGGGTTACTACTGTCACCGTCTTAAGTTCCATATTGATCAACCACTTCATAATTTTTCGATATTTATAATATCATATATATTGTGGAGACGCCACTCAGCAGCTCGTTTCAGATTATTCAATCTGGTATTTAATCTGTGTTTGTCTCAAAATCCTGGTTCCAGTCTATTTTTCTTAAGAAAGAACCCTTTCTAATGATCGTTCAAAATTAAGGCAAAATTCCCAAACATTTTATTCATCTTGTTGTTTCCTCTGTTCCGTTTATCTTTTCACATTATTGTCCAAGGCTCTGTTGCAATGCCCATCGATATCAGGTGGAGAGTTATATTTGTCTTATGCTCTAACGTAGCCTGACGTTCGATATTCTGCAATGCAACTGCTGGAATCCATGCCGCAAAAGTTACTTAATTAGGTTATATCGCTTCATGTAGATAACTACGATGCTTCATGGACCTGTCCTTTTTGTCCAGAAATTATGATAAGCTCTCATCTGGTGTCTTGTTCGACATCAAGATGGTTTTTGGTAAAGAATCTCGCAATAGTTTATTCTTAGTTATTCTCATTCAGACAGCCGTATTGGGAAGCTTCCAGAGGAAAAGAGCGAACTTTAAGCAATGCTCTTCATTAAATTTTTAAGCTATGTTTAATTCTCCATGTTCTTGTAAAATACCCGATCAGCGACAAAAACACTGAAAAGCCTACTTTTAAGACAATATTTATTCTACAAAGATCTAATTTGTTTTTCAAGTCACGACTTGGTAGTGGGTAAAGAGTAATATGAGGTGAGGGACGCTAGGTGACCGTCGATCATGAAGACCGTACTATGTCGAAGAGCTACGGTCAACATGATTAACGCTAGGAAAACGAAAGTAAGCAGGTGGAAAGAAGGAAAAGGAGGGTTGTGAGAGAAGCTACCACGAAGTTGGAAAATTAGATCACTACTAACAATTTGACCATTCGTCATTTGCCCACTTTGTGCTACGGAACCGAAACATATGGTGCACTTTTTTAGGACCCATTATCCATTATTGCATGTATAGAAGTCATTTAGACACCCTACGACATATAGAAAATCTGATTGTGCCTTTCGCGCACAGATTCTCAAATATTATGTCTTGTAGAGGTGCTGTGTAGCGCAGTGGTTAGAGGCAACCCGCAATACACATGGACTCGATCCCGTGTCCCAAACTCACTGACACTTCCATCCCTCCCATGTCGGCTAATTAGTACCCGCCTTGTGTGGAAGGGTAGTAGCGCTAATTCGATAGAATGGTAGACCACTGCGACTCATTGTTTAGACCAGATGTGCATCCGAATACCTCTAACTGTGCTTAATGAAGGATAAGCTTGGTGCATTCCTCTGGGATTGATCAACTCAGAGCTCTACCCTTTAACCCCTTTATGGCTTGTAACGTCAAGGAAAACTGTGGAGAAACTATCATCCATATCACAGGATCACATTAATGTCCCATTCCGCATCAATTCCACATCAAAAAATATTATTGCAATTCTTTCCATCCACTATATGAGAGAAAGTCACGATAGGTTAAAACCCACAGGATATCTGGTTTATCACAATCTCTATCCATTTGCCAATTGGCCAACACAATGTTTATTTATTCGGGGACGTGTGTTTTTCACGCCTTTTATTTGATTTTAGGCCCACATTATCGGAAGTTAGATGGGATTTAAGGTTTGTTTGACTTAAAATAGGAGTCGAAACAGGGTATTGTACGCACAGCTGTTGTTCAATTCACTGTGTTCCATGATCCTCTTGTCAATTTAATGGGAAGCATGCATATTTTTAATGGACATACTGTGTATGAACGAAAACCCTACATGATATTTCGTGAGTACTCGTGAAAATTAAAATGGGGGTTCACTGTCTACCTGATAAACAAACATAGTGTTGTTACTTTATTCTTTATTGACAAAAGGTCGATTTTCCAGCGGACTTCGCCTTCTTGAGAGCGTGGAAAGGTCAGGTTAACCGCAATACAGTGAGCCAAACGCCTCCGTAACCTCGACAAAAGAAAACTGCAGTACTTAATTTTCAAATGCATTAGAAATAAAACAGCTTCCTCGCCTAATAATCGCTCCCTACGAGTCCTCCACGGAGTATTATACACGGAGACCTATGTATACGGAAGGAAGCTCACATGAAAGGGCAATGAGCTATCCTCACAATAAAACATCATTCACAGATGTTGTGCGAGCTATCGAATGATAATAGGGCATTCTTCCCTGCGGTTCATTTTTGGATTCTCTGAATATTGAAAATCATAATTCCTTTCATATTTTTTCTAAGCTGTCTGTAATTAGCTCCACCTCATGAACGTAGCTTGCAAGAAGCGTACGATTTGTCGTGTAATGCACGCTTGCTCACTGGTTCGAACCCGACTTTTCCAACTACTTGGTTGGCAAATTACTACCAAACTTCTCCGAAGAAGGCGACCTTCGATATATAAAAGTGGGTGAGTGTCTTTGCTGAAGACCTAAGAGTGCTACATTAGAGCAAGAAGAAGAAGAAGGAATCAGCTCGAACAGCATTCGAGAACAGCATCAATGATAGGAATGAAAAGAAAAAAACTTCAAACAGCAGGCGAATCCATGGGTAAATCGAAAGACCTTGGGCGATAATAGATATAGGGCCATGAATTTGACGGAAATGCAGTGGGATCTGCACAACATGCTAGGAAAGGTTGTATAAATATTTAAAAAGTGCGAGCGTTACTTATTTATACAGTTAGACGACTCGTTTGTACGTGGTTTTCCCCATTCGTTCCGTTGTTTCGCGACCGACATCCATAGAAGTGATTGGCGGATTGGCCTTCGTCGCAGCTTGACGATCAGTGGTCCTACACAAGCATTGAGCGTTAGTTGACAGTGGTTTTTCCTGGTTTTCTGGAACAACCTTTTCACGAGGTCCACTGACAGTCACAGACTGTCAAATCTGCTTGTGGTTAACCACTATGAGGTTTTCCCAGTTGACTGGAGATCTGTTGAGTTTATTTCTATGCTGTTTCGTCCATCTGGAATTTTTTTTTGCAAGGGTACATAAGTTTTTAGAGTAACGACTAATTCGAGATGCTTACTGATTCAATAGCTGCCTGCTAGAGCTATACCGAAATGCATCATGGGATCTTTTTCCTGAATACGGTTCCTGTTAGCTTCTCACCGTTATAACAGCAAAAAGAACTCACACAGCAAATTGAATTGAACTCGAAGATGTGGGTGCTGGCAACTGAGGGCAATGAATTCATTTCACGGCCCGGCCACTCATTGAGATGCCTCGACGGGATTGCGGCGGCAGGGCAATGAGTCTGTGGCCTGCGCTGCTGCTTCTTCTCTGCGTGTCCTCCGTGCCAGCATGCTATCGCTATCCAAAAGGTATCCCTAGTGGGTATTTTTAAACCGCTGATATGTCCATATGTGTTTTCTTTCATAACATCATCAACGTTAGCGAAAAAGATAGTGAATAAGACCACCAAAAGTTCCAGTTAAAATGTGCGCCCTGCATTATAAAGTGCACTATGGAGTTCAGCACGCATTGGATGGCTTGACCGTACTACGTCCAAATCAATCTGATATACCTGCCTTTCAATTTTGACTAAGAGTTATCGGTTGGACGGAACTCAACCGAACTCAGTGAGAATAAGTGATCATTTCCGACCGAAAT